GTATAGGATTGGGGAATGTGTGGATTGCTAAGGAAGGCGAGGAGGGGGTGGCTAATGCAGTTGGGGATGAGAAAGTGGGACAGACATGTGAAGGAAGTTTTCTTGGGAGTTTGTTGAGGGGAAAGAGTAGGAATAATGTGGAGAAGGCTTGATGTGGACGTAAAGGTTGTCCATCTATCGTTTATATATCGAAATTATAGTAGAAATGTATCGTTATGGTAGGACTGTTGCGCATCCACAGGTTTTATAGGGTTTGTCGCACATCTATAGTTCTAATACAGAAAAAAAGTTCAGACTATGAAACAGGAAAACAGAAATTGGAGATTTTTGTTGCACGTCTTACAGTACTAGACAATTGAAATAAGCCGAAATTGAGAAACACACCAAAAATGATCATTTTTCATCCCTTTTAAAGTTAGATATTCTGAATATCTTTGAATCAATTATTATAAGATTTTGTTATAGTGTAACAATTCATATAAATTTTAATAAAAATTGAATAAATTATTTTTAATAAATTATTTCGTACTGATTCAGTTGATTAAAGTTGATCAAATTCAAAAATTCGATTTTGTGACAATTTTATTAGTTAATTTAGCGTATTTTTATATTTTTTCAAAAGCTTTAACTTCAAATTATAAATTCAAGATCAAAAAAAATCTTAAAAAAATTTGATGAATTTTTTATTAAACAATTACTGAATCTTTATAATATAGAAAGTTTTTAGATCCTTGTATACTTTATATAAATAATTATATATTATTGAAAAGGTTAATAAATGATTATTTTAGGTGTGTTTTTGAGCTATGGCTTTTTTCAATTGTCGGTTACTATAGTTTCTATAAAGCGCGAAACTTATTAACAGGGCCTAGACAAAAAAAAGTATCTGGAACTTTTTGTTGCACGTCTGAGTTTCTATCAAGTACGAAACTTAATTCAAAGGACTTGGATAAAATAAAGGTATCTGAAACCTTTTGTTGCATGTCTGAGTTTTTATGAAGTGCGAAACTTAGTAAAAAGGACCGAGACAAGAAAAAATATTATCTGAATTCTTAAAGGTCTTTTTTCTCCATATCCCCAAGCTCTGAAATCTTTCCCTTGTTGGATCGACTCAAGAGCAACAATAAATCAGATATGCAACAAAATTTTCAATCTTGAAAAGAAGCTTCCTTATTGGTCTCGGCTAACAATATGAAAAATTGTACCATAAATATCAAACACAAAATTCGAAAACTACAAACCACCCCAAGCTCTTAATATGATATATTAGTATCCAGAGCCACCTCCTCAAACTCCATTGTTCCAATAGCTTGACTAACAAAGCAACTTATAAATTCTCTTCCACATTGGCCACTCCTCCATCTCCATTTCTCTCCTCTGCCAACCCCTACTTCCTCTATACAACATCCCTGCATCCACTTCATTCCTTCCCGTTCTCAAATCAATATCTTCAATCTTCATCCATCTTGTTCTATACCAAAGTTTATACCCCGCATAGAAAATCAAGACCACTGGCATTGCCAGATACGCCTCAAAAAAGCTACTGATCTTGGTATTAACCCCCGTATGTACGGTCCCGATCGGATCAACCGCTACCCAAAACTGTACTATGAGGACCAATACTATCATACCAAGGCCAATCCACGAACCGATTGTACCGACTGGGGATCGATAAATCAAAGAATCAACACTGTGACCTTGTTGCGCCCACGCTTTGCGAAACCGTATGTGCGAATAACAAATAGTACCCCAAGTGAAAAGCGAAGATAGCCCCGAAAGAGCTAGTAACCACGTAAATGCCGAGTTTCCAGCAGGAGAGACGTACAGATAAGCCAGGAGACCAAAGGCAGAAGCGATAGCAATGGCGACCAGAGGACGGCCTTTTCGATCAATGTAAGCGAGAGGACGAGGAGCTTGGCCTTGCGCTGCGAGAGAAGCAAGGAGACGAGAAGAGCCGAATACGCAAGAATTAGCGACGGAGAGAACGGCGATTAGGATTACGACGTTCATTACAGAGTCGAGACCAGTGATACCTGCGGATTGAATGGCGATTATAAAGGGAGAGGCTTTGTTGGTGCTGGCATTTGAGGCGGAAATGAGAGAGGGAGAATTGTAAGGAACGAGCAGGCCGATGATGGTTATACTCAGGATGTAGAACTAGGAAGTTATTAGTTTCTGACAATCTGGTTGATTAAAGTAGTTAATACTCACCAAAACAATACGCCAAAAGACCTGCTTAATGGCTGTTGGTAGAGATTTGCTTGGATTATAGGTCTCGGCAGCTGCTAGTGCAACCAATTCTGTTCCTGCAAAGGAGAACGCTGCCGTAACGAGAATATTACAAAATCCCTTGAAACCATGATTGAATGCCCCTGGATTGGTCCAATACATACCTCCTATATATCCTGTTTTAGGAGTCCCCGTGCAATTTATCACTGCACCAAGAATACTAATGGAACCCTATTAGAAAGATCAATTGAGAGAGACCTACTGAGAAGTACTTACATGAAGCCTATTATAGCTGTGACTTTCAATATGGAGAAGGCATACTCCGCTTCGCCAAAGGTCTTGATGCCACAAAGACTGATGAAGGTTACGGCGACTAGAAAGATTGTGATACTAGCCCAAGTTGGTATTGAAGTACTCCAGAATTCGAGAGTGATTGCTGCAGCGATAATCTCTACTGGCATGATTATGAGGCATTGAATTGCATAGTTCCAGCCCGTTGCAAATCCCCAAGCTGGATCTATGAACCTAGTCGCAAATGTTGAGAATGAACCTAACGTTTGTTAGTATTTTGCAGCTATCATAATCTTTACTTCATTACCGGCAACTGGGAAAGTAACTGCCATTTCTCCTAGTGCTTGCACTGTACAAAACAACATTCCACCCATCAAAAGATATGCAATGAGAAGAGATCCAGGACCTCCAGTGGCTAGTGCTGCCCCAGAGCTCACGAATAAACCAGTGCCTATACATGTTAGTCATTTCAAATTTCAAGAATACCCATAGATAACTAACCTATGGACCCTCCAATAGCTAACATCTATCTCAAAGAGTCATTTCTTGCACAAATAGATTCATGTGGGATTTTCAATACCTGTAAATGGCGACCCTTCAAGATTCTGACCAAGTGTGTGTTGGCTATATTTGAAGCCGCAGCTTTGTCGTTGTATGTTCTTCCATTTGTACCGACAAAAATAGTAGGTCCTACATTTTTCTGAGCATCGCTACGAAAGTTATCAAAAGCTTTAGTCGGAAATTTTCTCGTCTCTTTGGGTCTCATTAAAAGAGGTACAATAGTCGAACTTGTGGTTGCATAAACTTTCTCCATTTTCATGGCGGGGTCAACCATCATAGAAAAGGTCCTCGACACCTCAGGTTGTTTAAACAAATCTAATTCTCGAAGAAGAAGATATATTTGCTGGGGCAGTGAGGCAGCCCGTGAGTTTCAATGATATGAGACGTGATGGTTATCAAGAATCCTCGGTCCTGAAAACCGGATGATACAAACCGAGAAAACATGCATGTGCTTCACAAACCAGGCGATAAACTTTTATCTGGAAGCTTTTACAGTATGAAATTACTTTGCAATTTGAGAAGTAATATCGAAATGGGCATATTGACGGAAGAATACAAGACGGATAGGTCCCAATCAAGGCCGATAAGTTGCCCCTGGGTAATGTGGCGTTGAGTTATGAATGACATTCAAACTCGGGAATTGTACACAAAACGATCTTATCCTACCAGATGTGCAAGGTAGTCGGCACGGAGATAATTGCCCCTTCATGATTGATTGTAGCAAGAATGCAGTATTTGTGTTCAAGTTTCAAAGGACACCAAGCCTCCAACCATACCACACGTTGGGAAGTATGCAAGGTACGGCTTGGTAGCAAAGAACGATTCAATCTATTGATTCCAATGCCCCTGAATTTGTGCATATGTGCCTGCAGAAAGCAGAGTGCAGCACATCCAACATTGCTATCCAGGCAAAGAGTGGTAGAAATGAGAGAAATCGTCCCAGGAGTGTGGTAAAGCTTTGGATGTGGTAAGTCGGATACCCCACTTTCTGGCCACCCCCCTTTTGGGCCACTTTTTATACTCAAAATACATTAAAAATGGAATTTTTAACTTTCTTATTTATGGATAGAATTCAATGAAAATTTGTATATATATAATTTAGATCGATTTAAGCTTATTCTGAAATTTTTAGATTTTTAGGATTTTTCTGTATTGAGAGCTAGAGCTTCAAAACATCGATTTCTAAATATATATGGGAATCACATACAATTTTAAATTTCTTATCAAATCTTTAATAACTTTTTAATAAAAATTGCTAAAAATAAACTATAAAATTTTATTATAAACTTATAATATGTTTAATATAAGAGATTCAGAAAAATAGAATTTTTTTTATAAATAAATATTTATAGGGGTACCCTCAAAATGACAGGGATTATTTATATTACTCTAAACTCACTGTATACTATATCTCTATATCTGTTAATTTTTCTTAATTTTTTTTTGAATTTCTATATAGATTTAAGTTCAAATCTTTCAAAAGATATGTAGTTTTCTTTTAATAATTGTTGTTAAAAAGTTATTAAAGGTTTTATAAAAATTCTAAATTTATATGTGATTCCTATACAAATTTGAAAATCGATATTTTGAACCTTTAGCTCTCAATCCAGAATAGTCCTAAATATCTAAGAATTTCAGAATAGGCTTAAAACGATCTAAATTATCTATATAAAAATTTTCATTAAATTATATTATATATTAATAGAGATATTAATAGGCCTAAAAAGTGATTTTTGGTGTGAAAGGGTGGCCCAAAACAGGGGTGGCCCGAAAGTAGGGTGCCCGACTTATTTCTAAGCTTTAATTAGGCCGTTATTCCGATATCCTTATCAACACAAGTACGACAGGACAACGTTGGATGTCCGGAAACTCAAAGGCTTGAGAAAAGGCAATTGATAGGTTGAATATTTTTGACGTTTCCGACGGGTACGCTAAAATATCATACTTCATCTACTTTAGGAAAGCAACTCCGATTTTTTAATAACTTCCCGTCCCAAGAACAGAATTTGTTCGTTCCGAACGTCCCGACCTCATTTTTTAATTTAATCGTCTTCACAAATGAAAATTGCAATCTTACAATTCTGAGTGTTGTTGGTTCGGATCATGATATCTCTCTCTTATCTTTTAATCCCGCTTTGCACAAGGTCCGAAAGCAGTCTTGGTCCTTGGACCATCTTTCCGGTAGCCAGAATTCAAAACTCGAAGTCGAGTCTGCAGGGGAAAATGTCACCAGTGGAACGATTTTGGTTTCCGTTTCTCACGACCGCCTTGATGCTCGATAACTCCTCAATATCCGGTTAAAAGAGAAGAATATTACCAACTCGTTTCTTGCCGGACATGAGAACCAGGAAGTAGTCCCCAAAGTTTGGAACTCTCATCTTCTTTCACACACACCGGCCAAGGGACTTGATTGTCTTGTTTGCATGTGCAGAACCGCATTTCCATAAGACTTCCCTCATTATGATTTCAATCGACAATTTTCGGTATTAGCACCTACACGAACAATGGAGGTTCTTCGACGTTATGCCACAGAAGCGCCCGAACAACGTGCTTGGATAGATACTAAACCTACATTCATTGTTAGCTGGTGGTGTACATGTTTTGCCATTGCTATAATTTTGTTTCGGATTTTTGGAAGATATGTTCGGACGGAAAAGATCTACCTCGAAGATGGCATTATGGTGCTGGCCATCATACCGCTGCTTATGAGAATGGCTTTCGTTCATGTTATCTTGATGTTTGGCACCAATAATAGTATAACACTCGGTTTAACATCAGAGGAGGTGCGGAAAAGAACAATCGGGAGTCAACTCGTTTTAGTCTCTAGGATTATGTACGCTGTGTAGTATGTCAACGCCCGATAACGATCCAAAAGAATGTACTGACGATTGTAGCCTTTGGGTCATAAAGTACAGCATCAGCATATTCTTGCGTTCTTTGACTGGTCAGATTTGGCAACGAGTACACCATAAATTACTCAGATATCTTCATATTATGCTCGCGGTGACCTTCTTAGCCACAGTCATTAGTGATATTGTTGAGTGCCAGCCTTTCACCCATTACTGGCAGGTTATTCCAGATCCTGGACCGAAATGCCGACAAGGATACGCGCAACTATTCACGGCTGGTATTCTCAACATTACTACGAATGTGGCTCTCATTGTCTTTCCTATTCCAATGATCCTAAAATCAAATCTATCAACACACCTCAAACTTAGTGTCATTCTACGTTTAGCCCTCCCAGTTTTTTGTATTCTCGCAACGATCAATCAACTCAAAAAAGTTGTATCTCATAACGGCGATCAACAGATCCGTTCACTCTTAGCTTCCCGTAAGGTCCTTTCTTTTACCACCCCATAACATGTAATCTCTAGCTAACAAAGAACAAAGTCGACATCCTCCTCACAACTCTGATATCCAATGCTTCGGTGATCGGCTCGCTCCTCCAAGACAAAGGTTACAAGAAGACGAAATACAAAACTCCTATCTACCGCGACATTCCCTCCAGTGTCCCCTCTACTAGCTATACTCGAAGACATGACAGCGATGAGGACTTCATGATTACCAGTCCTGATACAGACGGAAAGGCAGCTATGATGATAGCATTGGAAGTTTTACATGAAACTGCAAGTCGGGAGAATAATGAGGCCAGAGATTTTGGTACAGATGCATTGGGAAGCGGGGTCAGGAAACCTGAACATGTCTGGGCTGGTGATCATATTAGGGTCGAGAGGGCATGGGATGTGCAGGTATCAAGAGAAGAGATACCCAGGAGCGCCTAGATAAATTAGAGGGGCTCTATGAATCAATTGCGGTCTGATTTATCTTTGGGTTTCGCGAGTTGGGCTCATTAACACGTGATGCTGTACAAATCATTTTGTCTCGTACGATTCAACTTCATGTATATAGGTACCTACTGGGTAGGTAGGTATAGGTATTGTTAGATACTGTACAACTTACAACATAAATCTCTACCTTCTCCATGTACTGACTTGTTACATGAAATTGAGTAGGTTTTGAGAACGACATCAAGTGTATCTGATGGCTGCAAAATAGATTCCTAATCAGCTCCCGGTGAGCCTAAAACTTTTTATTATGAATACGCGAAGATTCCAATCGACATTCTTGCTCAGGCTGACTTCAAAAGAATTGGTGTACGTACACTAGATAGATAGATATATATATATATATATATATATATATATATTAATTTACACTGCAAAAAATTCATCTAGATTTCAATTTGAAGAATCAAGTGTCAAAATACCATGTTCGATCAATAAACCACAACTATTGGAAATATTTCTGTCTCGAGATCGACAGCGTAGACGTCAAGACCAAACTCGAGCCAGGGTTCCTGGAGCTGTTGAAGTGTCTTCCCCACTTTCCCCCAGCGCATGTAATTTAAAGTTGACAACCCTAGCTTGACACTTGACTTGCCTTGATATTTCAGCTGGTCTAGGTACAGTACCGCCTTTTTTCCGAGGGTGTACAAGCAATTCATGATTTTGGATGTGCAAGATATCTCTTTATTTTTCAGCCATTTCCTCGAAGGGTGCTCAACATCTTTTCAATTACACAACAATAGATACTCAAGATGTCGTCTTCTTACGCTATGAAGTCAATGGGCTCGAAAGGTTAGATACAGATCCCTCCAGACCGATTGCTTCTCGAAGTTCTTGATCTTTCTGCGTTTAGTTTGTTGTACCATACTCACTCAATCAACAGCCTTCAACCATTCCTCTTCGAATGATGCTGAAGCTGAATATGACCGACTGCGCGACCTCGCTCACAAAGAAGCTGCGAAACGCTCTCAATGTTTCGATCAATCGCGTCAAGCTTATACATCCGGCGACGGTGCCAGAGCTCACGAGTTGAGTGTCGAAGGGAAGAAACACGCGGCGCAAATGGACGCATACAATAAGCAAGCATCAGATTACATATTTCGAGAGAACAATGCCCAAGGCAGAGTCGGAGACGATGAAATCGATTTGCACGGACAGTATGTTGAGGAAGCAGAGCGCATTTTGGAGGAAAGAATAAGATATGCTCGACAACAGGGACAAACTCATTTACACGTTATTGTCGGAAAGGGAAATCATAGCAAAGATCATGTTCAAAAGATCAAGCCGAAAGTGGAAGAGATTTGTAGGGAGTTGGGGTTGCAATATGCGACTGAAGAGAACGCGGGAAGGATGTATATCAACCTACAAGGCGGTGCTGCAGTTATACCACCCAGCGGAGGAAGTCATGGAGGACAGCAACATCATGGTGGCCAGCAACATTCTGGACACCAACAACCCTCTTACCAACAACCTCAGCAAGGATATGAACAACCTCAACAGAGTGGGTATCAACAAGGAGGATACCAGCAAGGCGGTCAACAACAACATCAGCAGCAGCAACAAGAACAGAACAACAACGACAACAACGACGAATTGGAGAAATTGGCAAAGAAATTTCTCCCAAGAATATTACGAAAGGCAGAAAAAGCTTGTTGCGCGGTCATGTAAATGTTGGATTTTTTTATTATTTGGATATATATTTACTAGCATGGATTTAGTTTTCTTCAAAATATACCTTGGGTTTCAGAGGGGTTTAATTTGGTGGTATGATATGACTAGATATCAATAGAGATGGGGTTTTAATGTTGAATATTATATATAGATAGAAGATCACGATTTCACGATAGGTTAAATGAATGGATGTTCCTAATATTGGTCTTGATGTACTTATCTCAAGTCGTTTACCCTGTAGAAGCAGGTTAACTTCTATTGGTAGGGGAGGTATGTTATAGAGCCGATTCAAGGACATCTGCCAGTATATAATTGATGAATAACAGGGCTTTCACTTTGAGAAATTTGCCTGTACGCAGAACTTCTATAGATGAATATGACGCTCCGCTTGGCCACTGCCGTGGAGGCTTCTTCGCTTCGCTCTAAAATCTGAAATCTTTCATCAAATCGAATTCCTTCTCCTCCTATTTTAGAGCGAAGCGAAGAAGCCTTCATAGTGGTGGCCAAGCGGAGCGTCATATTCAGATGTATTGATACATGAACCGAGAGTGCAGTTAATATGCTAGAAAGGAGGATTTCATGACTACCTACCTGTACCCACCTAGGTATAAGTGTCGATATGTAAGTAGTTGGATTATTCAAGATTTGATTGTTATTTTACACCTACCTGGATATCTATTTACCTACAGAAATTACTTATATATCGTCGTATAATTTACCTTGGTCCTGTCATCTGATCTTTTATACTAAAAGTTTATCGGTTAGCGGAGAGGGAAAAAACCACAAAAAGCCATGACTCTTACCTAAGTACTCATATCACCCGATAAGTAAATCTCTTCCTGCAACAACTGTGGACAATTGTCTTTCCTTTTAATTTAGCTTTAACAACCCCCCACCATCCGTAATCGGCCTCAATTGTTTAGAAGAGCGACACCGGACAGCCATTGACCCATTTGATTGCACAACGCAGAGGTGCCGATAGTCATCCATCACAGCTTCCCTTCGTCCTAAATAAGAATTGCGGCTCAACTATCCGATACAGGATTGTCGCGCATGGAGCCTTCACATGGGATTGTGGGCGGGGCACCCGCTTCCAGCCCAACCATAGGCGCGCGGCCAGGTACAGGAGAAGGCTTCAACAAACGCAAGAGAAGTGGTGCAGGTTTTGAGAGTAGTCCTGGAACTGGAAATGAACAAACAGGAAACGAACAAGATGATGAAGATGCAGAGAGGAAGCGACAGCCAGCTGTGAAGAGAGCTTGCAATGAATGCCGTCAACAGAAAGTGAGTCATTACTTTCGAATTGGCTGAACACACTCGCAATGCAATCAATCATGCGACGGCGACCCAATTCGAATCCCAGCCAAGGGGTCCTTCAATTGCTAATATTCAGTAATTACAGCTTCGATGTGATGTCGTTCAAAATCCTTACAGCACTTGCGGTCGATGTCAGCGATTAAAGCTCGAATGTAAGATTGAGCATAACTTCAAAAGAGTGGGAAAACGAACCAAACATGCGGAGATGGAGAAGCAAATGGAAAGATATGAGCAATTAATAGCTCGTCAAGAACAATTAATAGCTCGCGCTCGACATCAAGGATTCGTTTACGATGATGAAGAACTCGGATCCCCAGTCACGAATAGCAGTGTTTATCAACATTCGAGAAATCAGTCATACATAGGAGGAGGATCAGATGAAGCCGTGTCATCCCTACTACATCTCAAGCAGGGAGGTTCATACAAAGTACCACAATATGCGCGACAAATCGAGAACGTGGGACTAACACAGGATGCCATTGACCATCTGTTCGCCGATTTCTTTCAATTTTACCACCCATATCTCCCATTTCTTAGCACGCAACAAACCCCCGATCAATATTACCAACAAGAACCCCTTCTTTTCTGGGTCATCATTACCATTGCGGCACGTCGATATACTGTGGACCCAGACTTATTGTCTAATCTTCGTCAGCCTGTTACGAAAATGATGTGGTCGAAAATCGCTGACGTTCCTAACAATTACCATTTTGTCAAAGCAATAATTTTGTTATGTACTTGGCCAATGCCTGTAGCTTCAACGGCAGCAGATATCACACATATTTTGTGCGGTGTAATGATGAAAGCCGCAACTGGCATTGGGCTCCATAGGCCAAACAACACTCAAGATTTCTCCCGAGTATCTGTTGATCTGAACAGGGAGCAGTTACATGACAGAGTTGTGACGTGGGCGGTCTGCAATATTGTAGCGCAAAGTATAGCGACTGGGTATGGACAGCCAGCCTCAACATTATACGATTGGACACTTGCTCCTGTACAGCCAGGTGAAGAGGGGCCTTTTACACTCTCGCCAGAGCTTCAAGCTCGTCTTGATATCGAGAGGTTCTGCGATAAAGTCTCAAAGGAAATGTATAGCAATGCTAAAGATCCAAAGGGTGTTGCTGGTGATGATGCCAGGCGTCAATTGACTAGAATATTCCGCTACGAGTATGAAAAGATGGAGAAAACAACTCTATCTCAGCAGAATTCATCGCCAATGATCAAACTTTACTATCGTGCGGCTGGGCTGCATCTTCGCCTTTCGGGCTTCTTTGATTCAAGTACCACATCTGGGTACTTGGATGACTTGATGGGATTATGGCGGGCTACATATGAGTTCTTGGATATTGTTTTCGAGCTTGAAAACCCACCATCCGGTAGCATCACTGGTGGTATCCTTCGATTCGCTACAGGCTACATCTCCCAACTGATCATTGCTGCTTCCTTTTCATTACTAAAGCTACTCAGTTCCTTCTTTGCCAAGTTTATGGATTTCGATCGCGGTCGTCAATTGTTTCATCGTGCAATTGACGCCATCAGATCCATGAGCATTGTACCAGGGGACTTACCTCTGAGACTTGCTGAACTTATGGCTCAGATGTACAATGGAGCTCGAGTTGAACAGCGCCAGATAGCACAACTAAATAATGGTAACGAACTAGGTTCAGGTTTTGGTGACATAGACGATAGCTTGCAATTGAAACTCAGATGCAGAATGAGCATGAGCTTGGTATATGATTCTATATGGAGATGGCGAGAGGAATTCCAAAGCCAAGGCAGAAGTATTGAAGGTCAGTAATCTTTAACAATTGTTCTGCATGATTTTAGTTTGTAAAAGATCTCCAACTAAGGACTCAATACAGCAGCGATCCAAAATCCGACCAATCTCGATAGTTCCAACGAATCCTCTGCCTCTTCTACTCATTTGGACAGTACTCTTATTCCTCCAAATCATCAAATGCAGAATCAACTCCTCGCTGCAGTAAGCGCGGGCAACCCGAGCGATACCATTCTCGGTGTCGATCAGACACTCGGTGGACTTTTTGGTTATGGCGAACCGAACTTCGAGGGGGGATTCGATTCGCATTCCTGGTTTTTCAATGGAGGAATGGATTTGGGAATGGATTTTCCCTACAATCGACAGGCACTTCAAGGTCTTGAAGCCAGCGGTTTTCTAGCTTGAAAGCCAGAGAGCTTTCAATTGCCAAGCTAACTTGCGCACTAGACCCATTCTTACCTATCCAAGGCTTTTTCCATGATCTTTTGACCCTGGGGAATTCAGCCTCGCGA